GGGAAAAAGAGAAAGAGTGATGATAAAGCATGCTGGAGATAGAGATAGATAATAAAGATAGAAATAAAGTTAGAGGTAGAGATTTCCTTGAACTATAAGGAAATGGAACACAATTCAGGATTCCCCAGAAACAATTTAAGTGCCATCAGTTTCAGAAGGGATTTAGCAGTTCCGTAAGATCCAAAAAACTAATGGGGCTAGGGTCAGGTCTCCTGAGAGAGAGAGAGAGAGAGAGAGAGAGAGAGAGAGAGAGAGAGAGAGAGAGAGATCTGGGGAAGCATCAAGGAATAAGACTAGCACTCTCTGGCTGTATTTCCTCTGTTAGAGTTAGAACCTCCTGGCTGGTACCTATTATTTTAATAGGACAGAACACACAGTTCCCAGTGTTAGACAAAGATAAATAAGAAATTAAGCATCTCACTATGGCAAACACTGGACTAGGTTGTGGTTTGTTTGTTTTTTAAGCAGTCAATACCTTAATTATATAAATCTAGATTTGATTTTGTTTGTTTTAGATTTTTGTTAAGTTACTTTAACAAAAAATATTACTATATACACCAATTCAGGACACCTGGGACATTGTGGAATACGGAAAGCCACAGTGTCCACATCTTTAGTTTGTTCTTCAGTTTGTCCATATTCCTCTGGATTCCATAGAGTTCAAGAGAAATAGTGACCACATAGGGAGCTCTCTAGCTGGTGCTTACTTGAGTGAAAGGAGGGAGGATTTGGGGTAGAGGGAAGGGTGCAGTCACATGCTTAAACTCACAGTGGTTCAAGAGGACCTGAAGTACCACAAAACAAAACTACTTTTTTTTTAAAATCTAATTTGACCCCCTTTCTGTTTCCGGGAACTGAACATTTGTATACTGAAAATTACAAACTTGAGCTTCATGAGCCCTACTCTCAGATGAATTTCTGATTCTAACTGTGCTTTACTTCTGACACCTGTACCTCTCCAATTCATTAACTTGCTCTCCCAAGGCAAGTTATTAGCTTAGTATGCCATGCTTCTAACCTCCACCTGCTTTGGGCCTTATCAACCCTCTCTGTTCTATGCCTTAAGTAAAGGATGGTTCAGTAAGCATCATAGACCCTACTTAGCCATGGTCCTTGCCAGATTCCCAACCAGGTCTCATCTAGAGTCAAGACCAGATCAAGTGTAACCTCCTATGTATGGGACTAAAACAAAACTTAGCTAGTACAATCAATATTGGCTCATTCAAATAGCCTTGCAAAAAATCATTTATACAAACCAGGGCAAAAATCCCTCACTTGGACATTGACCCACTGGCCCACAAATTAACCTGTGCTTTTTTGCTTTTTTCCAGTGCTTTAAACCTCTGCAAACTCAGCCTAGTGTCCTGAAATACTGGGGTTTTACCTGTCAAGGAGCAGTTATCCAGCTATAATATTCTGTCCAATGATGCATTGTACATTTCACATATTCTCTTTAAAAAAAAAAAAGCAAAAATAGCTACTCTATCACCCCACTCTTATTCTTATCTACAATCTCTAACAAGCATGCTCAGTTATCCTCCATATTAAAAAGAAACCTTCATTTGATCTGCTAGTCTTTCAAGTTATCACTCTATATCACTCCTCTCTTCCCTATTAACTGCTTGAAAAAGCTGCCTATGTTAGCTACCTACATTTAATACACATCACATTCACTTCCCAAACCCTTCTTACCTGACTTTCAGCTCCACCACTCTAGTGAAACTGCTTTCTCCAAAGTTACCAGTGATCTCTTAACTGCTCAATCCAATGGCTTTTACTAAGTCTTTATCCTTCTTTATTTTTCTTCAGCATTTCAAAATGTTGGCCATTCCATACTCCTGGAAAGCGTATCTTCCTTTGCATTCCGAACATTCCTTCTCCATCTCTTTTGCTGAATCATCAAGGGTTCTGTCAAAGACGACCTTCTCCTCTCTGTTTTCTCTACGTTCTCCCTCTTTGTTAACCAGCTAAGGTCCAGTATCATAGGTCCGATTATCATCTCTATCCAGCCAAGATTTGGCTTGACTGTCCCCTATCAAAGAAGGCTTTTCCTGATTCTCACCAGTAGTTAGTGTTCTCACTGAATTAAATCAAGGTTGATGTATTTTCTTCCTACTTATCTGCATATATATTGTGCCCCCCTCTCCCACCACTGCTCCAGAAGAATATAAGTTCTTTGAGGACAGAGAGTTTTGATTTTGTATTTGTACCATAAGTGCCTAGAAGTGTAGGCAGACATGGAGATGGAGAGGGGGGAAGACAGAGTGGCATACTGGATAGAAATCCGGCCTTGGAGTAAAAAAGTCTCTGACATATACTAAGACCAAATCAAGTGTAACCTCCTATGAATGGGAGTAAAACAAAACTTAGCTAGTGTAATCAACATTACTGGGCAAATTACTTAACCTCCCCCTTAGACAACTCTCTATGACAATAAGACTATAAATTGCAGGCTCTGTGCTAATCTGCAGAGGAAGAGGGAGTTTCTCCTCTGGGAGTTCTCTGTGCCAATAATATCACAAATCACAAGCCTGGCACTTAGTAGGCACTTAATGATTTGAATCTAAACTGAATTGAGTTTTTCCTCACATTACTTAAGGATCTCAGAGAAGTTATCTAGTCTAATCCTATGCTTTAAAATAAGGATCCCATCTAGAATATACCTAACAAATGATATCATAGCCTTTGCCTAAAACCTCATGATGGGGTACTCAATATCTCTCAAAGTATTCCACTGAATCTTTGGGTTGTTAGGAAGTGTTTTCTTTCTATCCAATTTCTTCATATCACAATGTCTAGTCACTACTGCTAGTTCTGCCCTCTGAGACCTAGTTGAACAAGTCTATTCCCTTTTCCAAGGTCTAAAAGAATAGCCATATTTAGTCTTTGCCATTAATACCAGATTGTTTGCAAATGTAGGCAGTTGGTAGTGGTAGGAGACCAGGATCTGCTGGGGACTAAGAAACCTGATTGAGACCCTAAGGCTTTGTAAATACAAAAAACACACTTCATTGTTATATGGCTTTGGCTCTGCCATCTGTCAAATCATCAACCCTGACATATTATACCTCCATAGGATGAAAGCCACTAATAACATGACTAGCTTAAATGGGCCTAACCCCCAATTTTAGACATTAAAAAAAAGTCTTACTGTATTGTTACAAAGAAAGTTCCATGAGTGAGGAGGGAGAATTGGTGCTTATTTGTTCCAGCTTTTCATTATCACAGACCAAGAAGCAATAGAAACATAATCTGACTTGTTAATGTGTAGCAGAAGAAAGGAGTAACAGTGAGACTTGCAAGTTGGCTCTCTGGGAAGGGAATAAAAAACAATGCTATAAAAAGGGATTTCACTGGAGGTGAATTGCACTGAACCTCAGAGTAGGATCCTGTGGGACTTTCTAAGATCTCTACTGGGGTAGAGGGAAGAGGAGAAAGTAGGGAAGGGATAAGGTTCTTCACAGATTCACAACACTTTGGCTTCACCCATTGCCTCATCTCCAAGTCTCTTATATGTACTAACAAAAAGGGCTTTGTCCTTAGGAATAATTAATATGCCTATGGCAAATTTTATTCATATTCCATTTACGAAAGCAGTAACCTAGACATAGGGCATTTTTTCGAGATTAATGGCTCATTGGGGTCATTAGTAGTGCAAAGTCACTTCCAGGGGCTACCAACTTCATCAAACTGATCATTAACCCCCAGTTTCAAATACTAAATATTCCCTACATCAAGGTATGTCATTAGTTGGCTACAATGTGAATGCAATGAAAATATTTGCCTTCCTACCCAAAACACAATGTTTTTTTTCTCAAATTCACCAATGATCTTTTTATTGCCATGAAAAGTAACCTATTGTCCATCTTATAACATGTAAGTGGAAGACCAGTCAACTGAGTTATCATATCAATGCACATATACAGGGTGTCCCAAAAGTCTTAGTGTATTTTTGAACTTTAATAATTTCAGAAGTAAACAAGCTGTGAACTTACAATAAACAACATTTGAAAGTTAATTATTTAGAATTTTTAAAATATGTTGATTTTCATAATCTGAAAAATTTTTCATTAACCTAGAACATAATATTTTCAAGGCAAAAGAAAAAAGGTTTTAAAGTTGGAAGAAGATATTAACTTATACTAAAAATGGCCACAATTAAACAAGCTAGTACTGTTTGCCTTATAGGCTTGTAGAATGTGCACACATTAATATAATTCTATCTCAGAGAATGATTATTGAATCATTCATTCAACTCTAGAGGCACTTGGGAGGCAGTATAGATAAAAATCAAAATAGTTGGACTGTATCTCCAGCTATGCTGGGGATAGTGTGTACACACACACACACACACACACACACACACACACACACACACACACACTCATTTTAAAGATATGGACACTAAAATTTATTAAGTTTATGCAAGTCATTTTTCTTCCGTAGGCCTTAGTTTCCTCTTATAAAATAAGTGGTTTTGCCTACATTGTTTTTAGGGAGTGTTCCAGGTCAAATATCCTAAAAGTCTCAGAATATATGGTTAAGATACTATTCCTTATATTAAACTTAAACCAGTGAGGTGGACAGGTTTTTAAGTTTATGCATAATGTTAGAAGACTTCTGTACTTCATTACAACATTAATATTTTAGTTAAACATTAAATCCTCTGATTGTAAACTCTTTTAATCACTGATTTTGTTCAGCCAGGGGTCACCTTGGGTCACCCCAACTTCATCAGACTTTGCATTCACTTTAGCTGCATCATAGAAAGATACAGATTCTCAGAAGTAACCATGTTGAAGCTTTTGAATTAATATAAAAGGATGTGGTCTTTCTTCTTCTACACATAGCCTTTTAAATCCATTTGTTTAAAATAATATCCCATGAGAAAATCAAAATACTAATTGAAAGCATTTCATTTCTCATATGTTAAAAAAAAAAAGAGTGAGACCTGGAATTTGTCATCTATGTTAAAATTCTTCCATTCTATTAATATTTTAGATAGAAACTCTAATATCACAGTATTACTTCAGATATATGAAGGTTTGAACATTTTATACATTTTTTTAATGCAAGATGTATTTGAATTATTTTTTAAATACACCATTTACCGGAATGTCACCATAGAGTTTCTTCATTTCATCACATCTTTTTGACAGCTGACAAAGGTCCTCTTCACACTTCTGAATTAGATCCTGTAATAAAAGTGCAATCTTGACTTGAGACAGGTTTATGGCATGACCGCAATACCCGACTATAAGCTTATAATTAAGCAATAACATTAATAGATGGTGAGCTTGTACTCCAACAATACTCAAAGATTGGAAAGGATTTGAGTATTGCCTGATAGAGGGATTTTCCATTTAATAAAGGCATTTGGAATGATATTTCATCTAAGTAAGCACTTGCAGGTACATTTCTGTTCTCCATCCCATTTTCTGCCATCCCCAGGTTTAGTTCTCAAAATAACCACAATAAAGCTCAGCTTTTTCCTGCTAATACATTTTTCATCTTTAGGACTAACGACGAACGCCAAAAAAAAAAAATCCTGTAAACTCTTGGGTGGCACGGTAATTGTTCCCAGCATGCAACTAGGCAGCCTTTATCCAAAAGGTTATAACAGCAGAACTGGGATTAGAAAGAACAGAGCAATGCCAAATTTTCAATTCTGAATCCAGCCTTAGATTCCTATGCCTTTCTTTTCTTCCAATCTGTATACAGTACAATAAAAATGTCTTAAGAATCAGAAAAACTCTGGGCCACACATTCCTGTTGTTTTTTCATACTTAAATCTTTCGCTCTCTAGGCCTCAGTTTCCTCCTCTGTGTTTTACTACCAGCTGTGTTGGTGTCTTGGATCAAGGGCTTTAGAACTGGAAGGCAACTTTGAATATATCTAGTCCATCCATCTCATTCTAAAGATGAGGAAACTAAGTTGTGTGATCTTAGACAAGTCATTTTTCTTTCTCTGAACCTCAGTCTTTATATCTACAAAATGAGAGGGTTGGATTCAGTCACTAAGAGACTTAAGTTCTATTTTCTGTGATCTTATGAATAAGAAGCATTTTATTGTTGTTGTAAAAGATATGCTCATAGCAGAGAGTAATTTTTAATAGAAATTTATTCTAACCAGTCAAATAATAAATTCACTAAATAATATATGCTGCTGAAAAATAAATTAGTGCTTTGCAGTCAGTATGACTGTTCGACAGACGAATAATTCATTTAAAAATTACCTTAAGATCTTGGTGAAACTGGTTCTCTTGCTCCTAAGGTCAGAGAGTCTTAGGTTCAAGAATCTTCTTGTACTGAATAATTTTTTCTAACTCTTTCTTTAAAACTAATGTCAAAATAAGAATTAGCCAAGTATGTGGGCAGAAATATAAGCACAACAAATCAATCCTACTCATTAATTTCTGGACTGGTGGGTCATATGACCTAAGCCATCTAACAGCCCACTGTAGGAAAGATCTTCATAGGGAAAGAATTTTAAATTCTATGATGCTATGAACTCCCCCTTTCTACAAGGAGCTCTACAAAGGACCACTTGTACGTCTCCAGAGAGCACATTGCAGAGCTTAGTGTAGAAAACTGGACAGAATTTACCCAAGTTCTTTTGCAAGCTGTTGCTGTTTCTCTTGTGACCCGGGAGACACGGTTACTGGAAGAAATAATCTTAAGGGACATCACTTTGACAGGCCCAAGCTTTGAAAAGATATAGGGCAGTATTAATATGATAACAATTCCTGGTACTGGCTTATGATGAGAAAGTATACTTAGTTGACCAAAATACTGATGAACAGAAATTTCCCTTTCCTTGGATATGCTGAGTAATCATTTAATGTACTTTGAATGATCTCATTTCAGAGTTACCATATGTACCATGAATGGGTTGTTCATTTTCAAAGAGCTAAAATACATTTAAAACCATATTTGACACAATTTCAGTTTTCTTCAATTTTGCAGTATTTTTGGATCATTTATGTCAAGGACCTGTGATTTCATTGGTATTGCACTAGAAGATACAATCCATCAAGAACTTGGGAGATGTCTAAAAACTCCTGAGGCTCAGGGAAGTTGTGAACCATCAGGGACACACATCTAATAAATGTCAGAGGTGAGATTTGAACCCAGGTCTTTCTGACTCTGAGTCCAACATTTTATCCACTATTCCCTTTCATCTTCACTAAGAATACCAATTCAAATTTCACCTATCAGCTAACTAGACAGTTTAGGTTGAATGAGGACTAATAAACATGATTTTAGTTAGCTAGGTAGAACAATATGCCAAAAGAGGAACTAAAGTCAGGAAGACCTCAGTTCAAATCCAGCTTCAGATACTTACTAGATGTGTGACTCTGGGCAAGTCACTTAAGCTCTATCAGAGTCAGCTTCCTCTTCTGTAAAATGAAGATAATAACAGCATGAACCTTATAAGGTTGTTGTGAGAACCAAATAAGATAATATATGTAAAGTGCTTTGTAGACTTAAAGTGCTACATAAATGTTAGGTTTTTTTTGCCATGCTCCAATTAAAGTCTTATTGGCAATAAAAATTTCAGTGATAAGTATGGTTCTTGAGAAGCATTTGGGACTTACAGAACGTATAATGATGTAAAATCCTCTATGTCTAAAGATCTCTGGCACCACTGGCTTCTCCAGCAAGTTTATAGGTAATGGCATAATCATGTCCCAAAGCAACCGGGGCAGATTTCCACTAGGCAGTTTATAGTGTGCTGCAGCCCTTTCTATTTCCCCTTTCTTCATATCATTCTGGAAAAATGGGGGGAAAAATACAAATCACTCTCCAGGCCACTGGACAAATCCCCTACTGCCTCTAGAACCAGTTCTACTCTATTTACAATCCCTAATGGTCACTATTTTTATATCTTCCCTCTCCTTATGAATATATTCACTACATTCACTTTCCTTATGAATAGCTTATAAAGTCTATCTCTCTAATAAAATGAAAGGAAATTCATGATATCCCACATTCTATAGCAAGGATATAATCAGAGTTTGGACTTTTTTAAGAGGGAGGCAGATACAGGAGATTAATATGACATGCACATGAAGGGATCCTGTCTGGAGCTCTGCAGCCATTTTTTTTTTCAAGAATGAGACTGTGATAGTGAGACTGAATCTCTGGGCAGGAACAGACTCAGAAGTAAATCAGTGAAGTAACAGAGATTGAAGTCATAGCTGGAGCAGAGTAGCCAGCAGACAGGATCAGCTGGAAGAGGAGTCAGTATCCAAATCTAGATTGAGGGTAGCTGCTTATGGAGGAGGCAGAGATGAACCAGCATGCCTATGAACCAGCATGTCTCAGGTCCTGAGTCCCTCAATAGGTTGGATACTGGCCATACAGGAGTTATAATTGGTTAGAGACAGAGAGACAGAGAGAGAAATCCACACCAACAATGAGAACATTTGCTAGCTTTTGGTAGAAGCAGCTGATGTGGATGTCTGTACGTAAGCTTTGTCCTGGAACTCTGGCATTTGGAGTACAACCATCACCTAGATAAGGACAATCTGGGCCTAGGAGCTATACGAGTCAAATTCCAAAAATCTATCCATAAATACCAAAAATATAAAAAAAAAATAACTGGATCCTTTTCAGAAACTAGGCCCCAGAGTTGTCAGTCTCATATTCACCTGAGAGTTTATGCATTTTGCCCGACACTAAAAGGTGTGCAGGGGAAATATTGAGCTCCTCATGTTATCAAAGAGAGGAAGCCTTTCATCCCTTGGTGCTGCCCCTTTCTGGACATCAGTGTTCATTTCCTTAGCCTAAGTGAGTATCTATTTGGGTAGATGTATCCATTTAGATCGCCATGGCTCATGGCTCCACTCACTGGGAGATTCACCACTTTTCTCCGTTGCATTTCAATTTACCCCCAATCACATGACCATGGCATAACAGAATTGACTACATAAACATGACTTGACTACATATAGTGTTTCATCCTTCCCACAGAGGTAAGAAGGAATAAAATAAAATATTTTAGGACACCCACCACCAGGGCAGATGTCTGCAATTTCTCCCACATACAAATTGCCGAATCTAGAGGCATGCCCCAAACTCAAAAAGTCCAAGGTGTAGTCCGGGTATTTCGACTCAGATCTGCCCACCAGCTCTCTCGCCAAGAGCTGACAAATGCCCCAAATGCCAGAATTAGCAAACCTCCCCAAGCTGCTTTACCACTCATAGCCTCCAGTAGTTTGATGTCTAGTCAATTCGTTGTAAGACTCAGGACCTGAATCATCTCATCTGGTCTCTGTCTCCTTCTCAAGGGCAACCACCAGAAATCTGGATTCAGATGCTGATGCCTTTTCCAACAGATTTTACCATTTGGCTGCTCTGCTTTGGCCTTACTTCTTGCCCTATTGCTCATCCCATGATTCTGTTCTTGCCAAGAGGAGCTATCCCAGAAGGAAGAGCCATAGGGCTAAGAGTGATGCCACATGCCTTTAAACCCTGGTACTTGGGGAACTGAGGCTAACATATTGCTTGAGCTTGGGAGTTCTGAACTACAATAAGACTAAAGCCAGTTAGGTATCCACACTAATCCAGCACCAGTATGGTCAGCTTCAGGGGGCAAAGGGACCACCAGGCTACTTAAAGAAGGGTAAACAAGATGTCCCTTGTCAGAAAAGAAGTAGGTCAAAGATTCCCTGCTGATCAACTGTTGGGCCAGGCCCATGAGTGACCGCTGCATGTTAGCCTGGTTGAAGTAGAGAGACTCAATTTCAAAACAAAACAAAACGAAACAAAACTATTGGGCAAGAAGTAATTTCCCTCTGCGTGGATGCCATCTGGTCTTCTTTGGTTTCTCCTATTTGTATGTGTACATGCCTCCCTTAAACACCGTCCCCCTCATACCCACTTCCCACCTTTGGCTCCTTTGGTCACTTCTTTGGAAGTTTCATGTTCCAGGCCATATTGAAACATGGGACCCTCCTTTTCTCCAGTCCAATGAGTGAATGAAAGAATGATTGGATGGATGGATAGATGGATGAAAAAAATGCATTTTTATAGCATCTACTCTGTGCCAGACACTATCCTAAGGACTTTACAAATATTATCTCATTTGATCCTCACAATGACCCTGTGAGGTAGGTGCTGTTATTATTCTACAGAGCTGAGAAAACTGTGGCAAACAGAGCCTAAGTGACTTGCCCAGGGTCACCCAGCTAGTAAGTGTCTGAGGCCAGGTTTGAACTCAGTCTTCCTGACTCCAGGTTCACCAGTCTATCCCCTGCAAAGGTGTAACTGATTAAGGGAGAAGTTAACTCAATTGTCATTTGAGAATTAGCACCCTTAAGGCTCTTCAAAGCATTTTCAAATATAATATTTCCTTTGGTCTTTATGGAACAGGTGTGATTATACCCATTTTGCAGATGAAGAAACTAAAGAAGAAAGACTGAAAAGAGGTTTTAGAACAACAGGAAGCCGAGGTTCCTGGCTGCTAGTGCATTGGCCTTATTTAAATTAAGGTTAGAGGACTGGGAGGGAGGAACCACAGTGTTTATTCCATCTATAGAATATTTCCAATTCCATTATTTCTAAATGACGAGCATCCTCTTTAAAACATATTTCTAAATCCCTCCCTGCCATATGACAGGTTAAACATTGTCATGGCAACACCCTAAAAAAACCCAGTACTTTGAACTTTTCGTTCTCCTTAGAACTCCAGGCTAAAAGAAACAAACAAACAAACAAAAAATTCTTTCCAAATGAGTGCCCAGGGTAAGTACAAAAAGGCACCTGTGATTTTAGGCGTATTTACATACCATCCACTTCAGCCTTGAGGCCTTTGATAGATGCTGAAAAGCAATGGAAACAGGTGTTAACAAGGCACATGTATGTTGAAGCCCTTTTCCCAAGTGGAAGGGGAATTTCTGATCCTCTTACCTCCAGGAGCAGCTTCAAATTCCATCAGTTCCTGAGGAAACTTGGCCAAATGGGGCTGGTGTAAAAGGATCTGTTCCACGAGGGCATGAACCAAGGTAAACTTCTTCTCCTTGCCTTGAAGCAGGGACAACTACATGGAGCACGGTAACAAGAGACAGACAGAAGAAATCAATGATTTTTTTTTCAATTGGGACAAGCAGGAATTTGATCCTGCATTCATTTGACAATAACTGAAAACACAACAGGAATCTGATCCCTCCCAACTGGGCTCCATACGATCCTGGTAAAAATAATTTTTATTACAGAATCCACCTTCCTAACATCCTCCAACTTTCCTACATTCACTCTTTGAAGTTTCTCAAAATAAGGACAACACCTTAATGGATGGCAACAGATTAGAATTTTACTCACACCAAAAGAGAATGCTACTGGGCATCTTCCTCTCCTGCCCATTTAAAATGGTGCATTTCAGCATCATGTGGTATTCGTGCAGATAGCAAGTTCTTAATAGAATCTGGGAAGATATTCTTTGGCAGAAAATAATTTCATAGACATTTTTCATTGTGATAGATGGTGTATTACAGCCATTATAAAAAAAAAAACTTCAAGCTGTGTCACCCAATTGTCACCAGTGTTATAAATCACTCACTCATATATTAAAGTCTGTAGAAAGCAGTGGGGGGAAAAATTCTGGCATCTCCTATTTACAGACCAGGTATAATTTGATAATATTCTTAAGGGTTCAAGGTAGCTTAGAGAATTTGTATTCAGTGCTTAGAATGGGATCAGGAGATCACATTCCATTACTGCTGAGATGAGGAGGAAAACTCTGCTTAGTGGTAACATTTTCTGCCAGTAAATCCTGATGAGACAGGTAAAGAGGCTGCTTCTCAAAAGATGGGATGGCAACACAACTGAGGTGCCATTTACAAGGTAAGTGCGTTAAGGGACTGGTTAAGAACTAAATGAATTACGTATTTGAAAGACAACTCCAAGGCCTGAATGTAACTAGCTTTATATATATATATATATATATATATATATATATATATATATATATATATATTTGTGTGCACACATACAATACACACAGAAGTGGCTCTGCATATAGTTAGAATGGGTGGTTTCTTGATATTAAAAAGCTTAAGCTAATCCCTCCTCTTTATTTCCCAAGCCTTGGTCTCTACAAAGTAAATATCTTGGGCATCAGACTACAAAGAAAGCTTCATCATCAATGACTTATCTTAGTTTGCACTACTAAGAAAGAAGTGAAAACAGTAGGCTGTCTTGCCTGCCTTAACAGTGAAAATGGACAACTGAAGGAAACTTCCTCTCTTGAGGATATAGACAAGCCAACTCTGACCAGAGGCAGTGATAAGTGTGTGCCCACACTCCAGGCAGGGCACACAAACTCCCACAGGGAGATGAGGCAATGTGGGAAACTAGACTAACTCCGAGAGATGAAGAAGGCTGGTTGGACACATTATGATAATGCAGCATGCAATCACAGCTGACTGCAGAGCCAGGGTTAGTATAGTAGCCCTGGAAATGAACAGAGTGTTGAGGAGGGAGTAGGAGGGCAGGGCAGAAACATGGAGAAAATAACCAGCAGTAAAGAGACTTTGCAGATAATAATATCCTTGTGGACAAGAACTGTTTCTTACTCTTCATTATGTTTTCTATAGAATGCAGCTATGTGGTACAGTGTATTGTAAATCCCACCCAGGATACTACCTGTGGGACCCTAGGCAAGTTTCATGACCTCCCCTCAGTTACATCATCTGTAATAGAAGGATAATAACACCATCTACCTCCCAGGATTATTGTGAGAATTCAATGAGATAAAATGCATACAATGCTTTGGAAACCTTAAAGCACCATATAAATGTTAGCTATAGCATCTAATACAGTGCTGGGGCCCATAGTAGGTGCTTGATTTACTGCTGGTGTTGCTAATGGTTATAAAATTGTAGCAATTAATCCACTGAGCTGGAAGGGTTTTTGAATGATTCTCTAAGATTCTTTTTGAGTAGCTATTTTAAATCAGCAAATATTAGCCCCCTTCCATCACAGAGGCAACTTTTTATGATTGGGTGCCAGCAGCAAAAAAGATAAGAGGAGGAAGCTCTTTAAAATAATAATGGATCCTAGGAGATCTAAATCAATTTCCTGTCACAAAGGGTGAAATCTTAACTTACTTTAGAAAGAGAAGATAATCGAAATCCTCTGGCTTTCTCTTTCCCAGCCTTTCTTATTTAAGTAGTTACCGATGGCTAAGAGATACTCTAATACAGCCACAAACATCTGGCTGCCTTTCAGCTGTTGGCATGCTTGGATTTTCTGGTTTAATAGCTGGAACAAAGAAATTTTGGTTAAGTTCTGCCATAAGCTGTGAATAAAGTGAAGTCTTTTAGTTAAGAAGAAATTTCCCCCAGCTGAAGTCAACAATGCAGATTTCAAAACATCAGCCCCTCACTAAATGCTCAGGGGGTTGTTTGAAAAGACTGTAGACGCTTGAAATAGTCTTATGTCTTTGGAATTTAGCATATCTCTATTCTAGTGAAAAGACATAAAGAGTAATAAATAAGACCTAATTTCATTAGCACACCTGCATGATCAATCATTGCTTAGCTCCCCCTTACATCATTATGTAACAGTCTGAAGACCAGACTTACTGAGGAGTAGCAGGGGAAGGAATGTATTCTGAAGTCAAGAAAGTTGGATTTTTTCTCCTTTAAGTAACAACCACAGAATTGGACCCAGTTAGTCCCTTAAATGCAATCAAAGATTTCCCCATTGACTTCTGTAACAAAGCATTGTAGACCCTGAGCAAGAACGGGCAGTGAGGTGATGCAGTAGATAGAGGGCTGGGCTTGTAAAAAACTTGGCACAGTGCTTGGTACATAGCAGATGCTTTAAAAATGTTTTTTTTCCTTTCTTTCCTTAGTCTAACACCCCCCCCCATTTTATGAGGAAATTCAGTTCTTAATGAAGTGGTTTGTCCAAGGTCACATAGTGTCAGAGGTGAGATTTTAACCCAGATTCTCTGACTCCAGAGCTGGTGTTCTTTGTGCTGTACATCATAAGGGGTCACAGTGACACCCAATAAAACAGGCTGAAAGATAACTTCAGTTCAGTAATAGATCTCCTGATCGGTAGGGAGAGCACACCATCATGCCAGAAAGCATTTCCTTGGTGTGCTTGGGGGGCGGGGTGGGGGGTAGGGGGAGTGACACACAACAGTAGCAGAAGGCTTTGCCCTGGGGTATTTAAAACCTGGTAACAGATAGCCTGGGCACAGTATATCAAATCCATCTCATCTCTGAGTTGGTATCATACTTCTTAGGATTCCTTTGGCTATAAAAGCTATAAGCTGGAGACCAAAACCCTTTTTCACGTTGCTTCTGAATAATGCAACAAAATGACGTCTGGAAGATAGGGCTGGATCATTACAGTATGAACTGGTAATATTAAGGTTGAGGAATCTTTTCCATGGAAGAGGCTCATTTCTTTTACAAGGCTTAAGAATTGAATGGGCTCTGTCTGGTGCTTTAATAGGACCTAATTGATGTATTTCAATTACAAAGGAACCAAAGAAAGCCCTTCTACTTACAGGCTGAAGATCTTTCACGTACCCTGGAAGTTCTCTTATCATAAGCAAGAGCTCCAACCTTTGGCCTAAATGAGGAATTTTACACATCTGCACAGAAGATGATTAAAAGCAAATCAGCAAAATAAAGAGAAAAATACAGCGGCAAGCACAGATTACTTTTAAATAAATTGTGAACTATTCTGGGACGAGAAGATAGAGCCACTCACTCTTCAAGAAAAAGGGGAAGCAAATGGGGAGGGAGATGGAACATAAGGAACAAAATGCCTGTCCCCAAAACCCAATGTTCTTTTAAGCCCCCATCTTCTCTATTGTGGAAATTTATCAATATTCAAAGAAATCGCAGGACCTCAGAATTGAAAGGAATTTCAGAAACCATCCAGTCCAAACAATACCTGAGCACACCCTGTGCAACGTTCATGAAAAGCAGTCATTCCATTTAGTATAACCAGTGATGGGGAACAGATTACCTTTTAAAAGCAGCCAATTTGACCTTTGGATAGCTCTAATTGTTAGGAAGTTTTTCTTTACACTAAGCCAAAACCTGCTTTCCAGCAACTTCTACCTAAAAATGTTCTAGCACAGGGCCTGGAGTCATGAAGACCCTATTTCAAATCTGGCCTCAGATACCTACTAGTTATGTGACCCTGGGCAAGTCACACCTAACTGCTGTCTGCCTCAGTTTCTTCAATTGTAAAATGGGGATAAAATAGCATCTATCACAGTGTTGCTGTGAAGATTGAATGAGTTAATATTTGTAAAAGATCTTAGCGCTGTGCCAGGCATATAGTAGGTGCTTAATAAATGCTTATTCCCTTCTCCTCCACATGACAGCCCTTAAAATACTTGAAGATAGCCATTAAATGCCCTGTAGTCTTTTCTTCTCCAGACTGAACATCCCTAGGTGTTTTCAATGTTCATTGCCCCACATCTAGATGTGGCATTCTCTGAGATCTGTCCCACTTGTACCAGGTAGAGAAAAACAAGCTTAGACACAGACCAAAAAAGGGTTATAATATGGAAGCTTGGGAGCTCCCCCTTTCCTTGCTTCACATAGTTTCTTTGTTTCTTATTTTTCATTCTTGGCATCAGCTGTTTAAATGCATGCTACTTTGCCCAAAAGTTTATCCCCTACCTCAGAAGCCCTCCCCATTAAAATAATAATAATAATAATAATATGTCCATGTGATTTCTAGACAAATTAAGAATGTATAACATTTTGGACATTCAAAACATGCATACATTTTAAACCACTTTCTCCCATCACCTCCAACTTCTAGCTGTTACCTTGGGTATTTAAACATCTATGAAACGACAGGATGAGCTTAGATCATCTATAAAGTCCCTTTCAGCTAATGATCTTGTGAGCCTTAAACCTGAATAAAGATTCTCTAATTTCCCTTTTTAACATTCACATAAGATTGACTTAAGAGGGAAAGCTTAGGGGTTTCTGTTATGGAGGACTCTAGGCATCTAAGTGGTATAGTGGGTAGAGTGCTGGACCTGGAGTCAGGAAGATCTGAGTTCAAATACAGCTTCAAGCACTTACTCGCTGTGTGAGCCTGGACTAGTCACTTAACCTCTGTCAGCCTCTGTTTCCCTTTTTGTAAAATGGTGATAATAGCACCTATCTCCCAGGGTTCTTGCAAGGGGTAAGATAATATTTACAAAGCTTTGTAAATTGTAAAGCACTACATAAGTGCTAACTATTATTACTATTATTATTATTATTATTATTATTATTATTATTATTATTATTATTATTATGCACCCCACTCTACTACCACAAGGCTTAAACATGTAATTGCAATTATATCTGGTTTCTCTGCTCCAGCCACATCCAGGAGCAGGATTCACCTGCAGGTCTCTGACCTTTTCATGGCCAGTTAGTACCTTTAAGCCTAGGAAGTATAAAAATAGTGCATAGAAGAAATACCCAGTGACCTAAGATCAAAGGTCAGAACCTTGCTCACTAGGACCACTCTGACTAGTTACTCATCCTTGGCTTCACTGACCTCCTGGGCTCTAGACCAGTCTGCCTAGGACCCCTGGCATTTCTTCTTTCTTCCCTATCCTAATTTCTGTCTTCAGTTTTTACTCCTTTAATTGCCTAAATCTGAAACTTATGACATATCTTTCACATTTGTCTGAACTTTTGACTGCCAGCCATGGACTAGCATAACAAATTATGTTTTAATTCATATTTTTAGCCCCATGAATGCTGAGTCATGTCATCAAATTGCTCTAAAGAATGCCTACTGTTCAGAAACATCAGGATATTTGTCATGCAGACCTGAGTAGGAATGAGTGAGTCATGCATTAATCACTGCCAGCCCCTCTTAAACATTACATTTTGCACCCCCCAAAAAATATCCTATCCTTTCACTTTCAAAAAAAAAAGCTCATACAGGCATTATCATTACTTGACAAAAGGTCCAATGGATCAGTTGGTCATATCTTCCTTGATGAAATTGACAATGAGTTACCCCTACCAAAAAAAAAAAAAGAATATAGACCCACTGAAAGGTTTTTTAAATGCCTCATGAGCTTTGGTACATGAAATTTCCTTGAGATTATAAGCACTCTCACTCTTAGGCACTCCAGCTCCTCTGGTGCAGCTACCTATGCAGAAAAGTGAATAACAGACCAAAGGTGACCAGGCCTTGAGGGCCCATTAATGCACTCACTGCAGAAATACAGTCAGCTTACCTCTAACATAAACTGGTCAACAAGGTGTAGCTCTGAAGGGGATCCCTGATATGAATGGTACATTTCAATGTCTTTAATTGTTGGCACATATCTGTGTAGAAAGAAACACAAAGTGCTCATCAATTGTGAGCCAAGGAGTATTTATTTTTCCTTCCAGAAACTGAAGAAAAGACTTTGGCCCCAGCTGGGAAACCAGTATGAGACTTGGCAGTATAAACCAAAAACTATTACTTCATCTGACTCCAGTCTATATGAGAAGCTACATTTCTAAGGTGCTGATTTGAATTTAAACATGTGTTTACACAAGGGTATTCAATGAGATTGGGGCAGGTCAAATGTTTTATTTCCATCCCACCTACTCTCTGTCTCTCTGTCTCTGTCTCTGTCTCTGTCTCTGTCTCTCTCTCTCTCTCTCTCTCTCTCTCTCTCTCTCTCTCTCTCTCTCTCTCTCCTTTCTCTCTGTTTGTCTGTATCTCTATCTTTCATTCTCTCTCCCTTCTCTCCTCTCCTAATGTGTAGAAATGACCTTTCACCCCAACCAGTGATTCTTTCTGAAATAAAAAGACATCCATCTGCACTGAATTGTACTCATCATGCTGACCCAGTCTTCTCTTTATCTGAGCACAAATAGTTAGGCAGCCTAAAAACTTCTGTGCTATTCTCAGAGAAATAACCACCTGACCAAGAATGTTTTCCTTCTGCAGAAATCAAGAAACCTTGTTAAAACTTTTTAGACAATTTTTTTTACTTTAAGGAATCTCAGAGTTAAAAAGGACCTTAGTGACCATAAATCTACTCCCCCTCCCACCCCATTCATTTTATAGAGGGGAAAATTGAGACCCAGTGAAGGGAAAAATGACTTGCCCAATTTCACACAGCTAATAAGGACCAGATCTGGGATTAGAACCCAAGCTTCCTGATTCCCAACCTAATTTTTCCCTTACACAGTTCTGCCTTATATGTCTAATGGGTAGGCAGTAGAGTCAAGTGGAAAGACCACTGGTCCTAGAGTTTCAACTCTGATACTGACTAGCTGGGACGACACTGTATAAGTCATCCCCTTCTCTGAGCCTAAGTTATTCAACAATGAAATGGGGATAATAACGTTTGCACCATCCATCTCAGCATGGTTGTGTGGAAAGCACTTTGTAAATCTCTAAGTGCTAGAGAAAGGTGAGCTGCTATTATGACATCAATTATTTTAAGCGTTGCCAGTTTTCCTAGACCAAATGATTCCCTGGGAATCTGAGATCCCACTAGATCACTTGTCGAGGATTGATCATCAAAAGCCTATAACCTGCCTCTAGCTAATGAAATAGTATTTTCTTTTTAATGACAAAACAAAATTCTATATTGTCTGGTTTTGTTTAGAGCTGTGTTTTTTTTCAATAAATATTAACTATATGGGAGTTCACCTAATTCAATTTCATTCAATAAACATTCATTAGGTGTGGGGTTAGGGTTATATTTAAAAGCTGAGACAAGCCATGATCCCAGGTCTCTTGGAAGTTCTATTCTACAAGGGGAATATGACTTATACATAGATAACTGGAATATACAATAACACATCAATTTACTAAGGAGGTACAAAGCAAATTACTAGGAAAAGTCTGGGAGAAAGTCATCCCTGGAGCATTGGGGAAGGCTCCTTAGAGGAGATGGCAATTTGGACTGGGCTTTAAAAGATGGGTAGCAACTCAACAGACAAAGAAGAATAAGGTCCCCACTGTCACCAGGAATAGCACAAGCAAAGGTCCAGAGTATTCAGGAGAATACTGAGAACATTTGAAAGACAGAAAGTAGTCCAGGTTGCCCAGAGGGTAAAGAGTGTTGTTGGTAGTGTTGGTGATGATGGTGGTGGCGATGGCAGTGGTGGCGATGATGATGGTGGTGATAGTGGTGGTAGCAGTAGTATCATTGTTTTGTTATATTTACACAGCACTTTAAAGTTTTCCAAAGTGTTTTATATTCCTTACTTCAGATGATATTTGGGGTAGTAATAGGAGACAAAGCTAGAAAGGTAGGGGTGGTGCCAAAGTAAGAAATGCCTTAAGTGCCGGACAAAAGAGTTTTACCAGGGTGGGGGTAGGGGCGACAGGAGTGAAGGTTTTTGAGCAAAGTAGTGACAAATTTATGTGTAATGGAAGATTAGTCATACAGCAATATGATAGTATACTATGTACACCATAGTACCAGCATGTGATAAAATCTTAAGGATTTTATTTTCCTTTGACCCAAAGACTAAAACAAAACAAAACAACCTTTGATTTCAGGACACATCATGGAAAGTCCCAATGAGTCTCAGGTGTTTGAATGAACGCCTTATTCAGGAAATTTCAGAAATGTGACCCTGATTTCTTTTCCCAATACTCACTGAAAAATCCCCTAAATCTAATGATCTAGATCTGGAGAAATCCATTCCCAGGATGTTTTGGTCAATGAAAATGAGTCCTGACATGTCCCAGCTGAAAGCCTTTCAGAAATTCAGAAAACAGCCCTCATTTCCTCATATTCAACCAGAGGACCTTGGCATCCTCAAGCCACAACAGATCAGGCCTTGCAACTATTCCTGTCTAGTACTGTGAGCCTGTCTATGTCTATGTGTCTATAAGACTCCCAGGCTAATAACAGTTTTAAATTAACCAAATTGGTCCCTGATGCTCACCAAAAGGGCTTCAAAATCCCATAGTACGTGGAATCAGAAAAGTGTCAGCCACTGAGTGTTTTTCCATACATATTCCTAAATGAAGCTTCAAAGCGTACTTCTACGTTATCGTATTTGAGACTATTCTGAGAAATGCATTCTTGGATTTACTCCTGGTTCCCAACAACAACAACAACAACAACAACAACAACAAAAAGCCCCTCAGCCCAATGATGCAAATTCCATTTCCATTAAATGGAACCCATAAATCACTGGGGGAAATAAGAATGTATAGAGCCAATAAAAAACTCCAAAACACATTTAAGCAAGACTACACTTGAATAATTCAACCCAAAATGGTTATACTTCCTATTCTTAAAGATCGCCAAGGCTATGAAGGTTTCATAGCCTCCCTCAGTTGACTCAGTATTTAGTGGCCCTCTCTATCTTTTTTGAGTCTAACTCCAATTCTTCTTGCTATAATCTAAGCCCATCTGTTCTAGTGTTGGCCTTTATGAAAAGATGGACACCATCAAATTGAACTTTAACCAATGAGGAATAAGTAGGGATTATTATTTTCTCTGAACTTCTCCAAAGTCTCTGAGCTTCAAGGTCTACCAGCCCAGGCAAGGAGTTTCAGTTCCTATGTGGGGAGTAGTGTTCTGAATCCTAAACAAGATCCAACATTTAACATCCTAGAATTTTTTCTGTAGCATCAGCTTACTTGACTTGTATCTAATGTGATTAAGCACTCATGATGATGGGTGTACATTTTTATTAGGAATATGACAAGTGATTCAGCAGTAATTTAAAAAGTAGAATGTTTCACAGAATGCTCATTCCATGTAAAGAATAAGTCATATATTTTGTAGTGTTCGGAAAAGGAGGGAAAAGTTAAAAAAAAAAAGAAAAGTTTTTAGGAAGAAACAGCAGCTATAATAAGCTGCTAACCGAGTTGCTTAGCTGTTAGTGCAAGTTCAAGTCAAAAACAATTAGGAAGCCAAATAAGGAAGAGAATACCGTGATTATTGGGGAATAATTGGCTAAAGAGGCAACTTCACTGGCTATATGCTCCTTCTTGGCCTCCTTTCCCCTAAGACATCCCCTCCCCCCAATTCTTACCTTCATCCTTTCCTCCAACAATTAGGCATGGGGTTTGACTTGGGTGGTTAACCAAGGCATTTCCTTAGAATGGGTAGTTGTTGATCTGTCTAAAAAGACCCAGACGGCTTTGCCGCTTCATTAGCTCTGTCTTCAGCCCAGAAATTCTCTAAATCTGATTCACTAGGGTAAACAGAGTAGGTCAAAGGAGAGTCTGCCATGCCTGGGCTGGGCAGGGCACAATTTCTCCTGGGTCAGCTACCATTAACAACCAAATGCAATGGATTACTTTAAAATTCAACGATCAAATGGCAGAGTAAAAGCAGTACCTACCTGAGCTCTACTCTAAACCCTTCCAAATACCTCTAAAAAGTGGCTCTAAACAAATTCTAGAGCAGCAGAACTCACAGAAAGACATAATAAAACAAATTTCCAGCCCAAGACAACCTTGATGGTTGATTGGAAAGGTCTATTGCAACAGGTTGGGAGAGAAGCACAGTTCAGTGTGGGTGCATAGGCAAAGACCAGGCCTCAGCATATCTGGAGCAGTCTTCAGGGGATTGAATCAAGGGGAGCTGTGGTGGTTTCCAGACTTCTCAATCCACAAATACCAAAGACAACTTAGAAGGTCAGTGGGAAAAGTCTGTTTCTGTCGGTGCTGAGAAAGGAAGGAGGGGTCTCAGCTCCATTCCCCAAGAGCATGGCCCTGGGGGTAGGGGGCAGCTGCTTCCCAAGCTTCTGGCCCACAGACTGAGGGGGAATCCAGTGGCTGATCAGAGAGGGATTGCAGGGATCTCTTTGCCACTGCTGAGGCAGGAATCTCTTGCTTTGCCCATGTTTGGATCTGGGCCACAGTTCTGGGTGGCAGTGCTGGGGTGAGGAGGAATGCTGGCATGGTAGAGCTTACAGGACAGTTACAGGACAGAAAGGAGTACTTGTAGTCACAGGCCAGGAAAGAAGTAAACACCTCGCCTGTTATCATACCACCTTGGAAGAACTGAAAATTTACAGGTCCCTACAAGTATCTCTGAAAACAGCTACACAAACCCCTGAAGCTTGGGACAGTACACTCTTCACATTGGAAGCAGATTTGTACCTTAACAAAGAGTTTAAAACTCAAGTAATTGGCCAGAATCATGAGCAAGCAGCGCAAAGAGAGTCAGACTATATTATCTTACTTTGGTAGAAAAGAAGATCAAAATATACAACCAGAAGAAGACAACAAAGTCAAAGCTCCTACATCCAAAGCCTCCAAGAAAAATATGAATCAGTCCCAGGCCTTGGAAGAGCTCAAAAGGGATTTTGAGAAGCAAGTAAGGGAAGTAGAGGAAAAACTGAGAGTGATGGCAAGAAAATCATGAAAAACAAGTCAACAGCTTGCTAAAGGAGACCCAAAAAAATACTGAAGAAAATAACACCTTAAAAAATAGCCTAACCCAAATGGCAAAAGAGGTCCAAAAAGCCAATGAGGAGAAAAATGCCCTAAAAAGAAAAATTGGCCAAATGGAAAAGGAAGTCCAAAAGATTACTGAAGAAAATACTTCCTTAAAAATTAGAATAGAGCAATTGGAAGACAGTGACTTTATGAGAAATCAGACACAGTAAACAAATCCAAAAGAATGAAAAATTAGAAAACAATGTGAAATATCTCATTGGAAAAACAACTGACCTGGAAAATAGATCCAGGAGAGAGAATTTAAAAATTATTGGACTATCTGAAAGCCATGATCAAAAAAAGAGCCTAGACATCATCTTTCAAGAAATTATCAAGGAAAACTGCCCTGATATATTAGAACCAGAGGCAAAATAGAAATTGAAAGAATCCACAGATCTCCTCCTGAAAGAGATCCCCAAAGGAAAACTCCTAGGAATATTATAGCCAAATTCCAGAGTTCCCAGGTCAAGGAGAAAATATTACAAGCTGCCAGAAGGAAAAAGTTCAAGTACTGTGGAAACACAATCAGGATAACACAAGACTTAGCAGCTTTTACATTAATGGACCGCAGGGCATGGAATATAATATTTCAGAGGGCAAAGGAGATAGGATTACAACCAAGAATCACCTACCCAGCAAAACTGAGTATAATCCTTCAGGGGAAAAAATGGTCATTCAGTGAAATAGAGGACTTTCAAGCATTCTTGATGAAAAGACCAGAGCTGAATAGAAAATTTGACTTTCAAATACAGGACTCAAATGCAACACGAAGAGGTAAACAGGAAAGATGAATCATAAGATACTTATTAAGATTGAACTATTTACATTTCTGCATGGAAAGATGATACTTATAACTCATGTGACCTTTGTCAGTATTAGAGTAGTTGAAGGAAAAAAATTATATGTATGTATATGTAGATAGATAGATAGAGGGCACAGGGTGAAGTGAAAATAAAGGGGTGATATCTGGAGAATAAAATTAATGGGTGAGAGAGGATTATACTGGGAGAAGGAGAAAGGGAGAGGTAGAATGGGGTAAATTATCTCAAAAAAACAGACAAGAAAAGCCTTACAGTGGAAGGGAAAGGGGAAGGTGAGAGGGAATGAATGAATCTTATCCTCATCAGATTTGGCTTAAGGTGGGAATAACATACACACTCATTTGGCTATGGAAATCTATCTTACTCTAAAGGAAAATATAGAAGGGAGGGCAGATTGGGGGAGGGGGTAATCAGAAGCAAACATTTCTGAGGAGGGACAGAGTCAAAAGAGAATAGAATAAATGGGGGGTGGGACAGGATGAAGGGAAATATAGTTAGTTTTTTACAATACGACTACTATGGAAGTGTTTTGCATGACTACACATGTATACCCTGTATCGAGTTGCTTGCATTCTCAATGAGAGTGAGTGGGGAGGGAGGAAGGGAGAAAATTTGGAACCCAAAGTTTTAAAAACAAATATTAAAAAAATTGTTTTCACATGCACCTGGGAAATAAGATATACAGACAATGGGGTATAGAAATCTATCCTTCCCTACAGGAAAATAGAAGGAGAAGTGGATAAGAGAAGGCAGGTTATAGAAGGGAGGGCAGACTAGGGGAAGGGATATTCAGAATGCACGTCATCTTGGGGTGAGGGGAGGAGTGAGATAGAGAGAAAATTTTGGAACTCAAAATCTTGTTGAAAACTAAAAATGAATAAATTATTATTTTTTTTAATGGCCAAAATGCAGGCAGAAACTTCACAGTGTAGCCAGGACTTTGAAACAACTACAAAGCTGTTGTAGGGAATCCTGGGCCAGCAGGAAGCTGAAACCCCAAACTCATCTTCTTTTTTTCTTTGCTTTTAAGAAAGTGGACAGCCATATTCCTAAATTGACCTCTATGTTTAGGCAAAATAGAACACTGTCATCTTATTTGATTCTTGTCATAGTGAGTATAACCTTATCTTCTGGTGTCTCAGAATGCAAGAATAATCAGGAAAAAATCAACCCAGGATGGAAATCCCCAAATGAAAAGGGCAAAGTATACACAAAGCTTTAAGTAGTGTTAGCTCCACGTCCTGGAAAGTTGCCAAGCTCTAGTGCCATGACTTGCATGCTAAACATGTGGGCCTTCTAGCCTCAAATGGACTATATAGGCAATCCAACAAGAAATGCTAAGCACTTATAAGTGATTGACTATTGCTCAAATTTGCAGCTATAAACAGAACTGCATTTGTACATTGTACAGCTTAGTTGTAATGTCCCATTCCATTTATTTCTTCCACAAATGATATTCACTTTTCAAAATCAGAGAAACTTCACTAACTATGACCAACTGGTGGTAAGGACAGAGGTGAAAAAGCTAAGTCTCAACTAGGCAGTTTACTAAATGCAAAGCAATGCAGCTTGTGGATCTAGCATATTGGGAGGTCTTCTGGGTCCACCCCACAGAAACTATTGTTGCTATGGAAGTTAATGGAGACAGAAAAAAAATTGAAGCTCTCCAGCTAAAGAGAATTCAGTGGAACCTGAAGGATGAGACCTAGTTACGTGCACCAAAGCTTAAATTCAAATATATCCATAGGATGGCAAATATAGCAAATTGGAATTCTCCTTACCTAGTTTAATGCCCAGCTGTTGCCCACCTAATACCCAACTGTAGATACTTAAATCTGGATTTCAACTCTTGCTAATCTCTCTCAAATTACTAATACTCCTGTATTTAAGCTGCCTTTCTCTTTAGACACCAGAAACATGCTAGCATTCAACCCTATTCTAGGCTATCCTGGCTACTGACCTTGGCAGTGTCTCAAGTGAAGGCTACTTCCTGGCCCTTTGTTTCATTTCCAAGACCAGTGACACCAGTTAGCCGACCTCTGCTTACTCAAATTAAGGCTTAACCCCTACCTTTGTCTCATAGTCTACCCTGTAATATCCTGCTACCTCAACTCAGGAAAGCTTCAGTTAATATATTGGGATCCCAATAATGGAACCTAAATAGTCATTATCTCCCTAGTACAGGAGTGGGGAACGTGTAGCCTAGAGGCCTCATGTGGCCCTCTAGGTCCTCAAGTGTGACCCTTTGACTAAATCCAAACTTCACAAAACAAATCCCCTTAATAAAAGGATTTGTTCTGTAAAACTTGGACAGAGTCAAAAAAGTCTGCACTCAAGGACCTAAAAGGCCACAACATGGCCTCAATGCTATAGGTTTCCCACACCTGCCCTAGCATATTCCAGAGTAACAGTATGCTTGAGTAATGAATAGATAAAAGTGACTTGCAATTAGCATATTGTTTTTTGTTTCTTTTCAATACCTATAGAAACACCTGCTTCTTTTGTTTTTTAAAGGTTTAAATATTACTCTTTAAATCTTGTTAACATTATTAGTGTGTTTTATAAACCTCATATTAATAGGTAAATCAAACTTCAAACCAAGCCCTTTTCTAGGCCCTCATCAATTTCAACTTATTAGGATTCAAATCATTAGTTTTACTGAACTTGCTAAAAGAGTCCTATTTATTAGCCATGTGGGAAACAGGTTAACATGTGCTCCTGTAGCTTTGGTCACTAATATACTAGAAGACCTAAGCCAAGTCACTGAACTCAGGTCTTCAATTCTGCTCTACTAAGGATAACAATGTCTGCTGGAGCAGCAATAGGGGCAGAATTCCTGGAGCTTTGTCCTAAGGTACAGAAATTTGGAAGTGTAAGGGAAGCACTTTCAGCCATTGAGCAGCAGAGAAACCATTGAG